CTCTCTCTCTCTCTCTCTCTCTCTCTCTCTCTCTCTCTCTCTCTCTCTCTCTCTCTCTCTCTCTCTCTCTCTCTCTCTCTCTCTCTCGCACGCACGCACGCGCGCACGCTAAATACACACAAAAGCTGGTTTTGTTCCTCAACGGCTTCTTCCACAAAGACGAAATCGCACATAACCGATTTGACACACAAAACCCACTCCCTCCCTCGTTCCTCTACCCGATCCTTCTTCGGCAGCTACGCTTTCCGCCCTCCTACCACCAATGTGCGCGAGGTCATCACAAATCGCAGCAGTTGCATATTCACGTAAATGCAACGGAGGGGTTTCGAAGCCTGCCTATCTGCATACTCCTCTTTTTTGATCGGTACCCTTCTCTTTTGATCGGTCCAGATCGATCAAACAATTGAGAAAATTACAATGGAAAAAAAACAAAAAAGGTAACCAATCATCAGCAACTACCACACGACGGCGCAGGCGTGGGTAATCTCCTTGACAAAGGAACTGAGAACATAAGGAAAGCAAACTCGAATCTCGACGAGTGGCTGGCTATGGCAAAATCTGTCATCGCTACCGTCTTCAACCGCCGAACACAACGCACCCTCATTTTGCCTGTACCAGAGCGGAAAGATAGCTTGTATACATTCATTATCAGGGTGCACGTTCGACGGAAAACGGTGGCAAGTATACAACACAACGAAGGCTATATTACAACCACGCTGTGTGAACTAATTAGTCTAATCATCAATCACACTTACAGTTAATTAATCGCAGCGCCAAATCATCCATTTCCTGAGCCGACTCAACTTTTTCTGCGAGTTGCTGCCTTTGCAAAGCTTGGCGCGAGCGCGGGAACCACCTGGCAAAGCGCGGGAAAGGTTGCTGTTGCCGCTAGAGAGGGCGCTACTGAGGCTAGCACAAGGATTGGAGGCACTCTTGGAACACGCTTTTCCCGCGCTCCCAGTCTGACCTCGAACAAAGCGATGAGAATCGGCTTGGCAGCGACTTCCACCTGCGCAATAAATTCGTTTCTTGAGAGCTTGAGCGGGAGAAGACCAGGACGACCAGGAAGATGTCGAAGAACGGCTGCTGGTCGTTGAGCTCAGGTCGCGAGAATGATCATCGCTGCCATCAGCATCCGCAAAAGCCCCACCAGGATTGGCACCGCAGTAGTTACCCCCATGACAACCGCCGGGAGACAATGGCAGGCGGTGAATCATCATGAAAATGGATATCGTCATCTTCTCTCTCTCTCTCTCTCTCTCTCTCTCTCTCTCTCTCTCTCTCTCTCTCTCTCTCTCTCTCTCTCTCTCTCT